ATGACATTTGTGGCCTCTATTCTCCCCTTTTTTATGGCAGGTTGTGCACTTAATACCTCCCTTAAGTGCTCAACTTTTTTGATCATTTCCTTGAGCTCACAAACCCGCTCAGGTTGGAATACTCCATGTATTACGTTAATTATGCCTTGAGGTGGGGCGTCGACCGGTATTCCGTTTGGGTTATTGTGATTCTGGGGGCCTGGCTGTGTCCCTCATTCTATGTACTGGTCCAGGTGCCCCGCTGCCACTAACTCCTCTAAATGCTGCCTCAACAGCGTGCAATTTTCAGTGCGGTGTCCCTTTTCATCATGGAAGGTGCACCGGGACCTCTCGTTATAGTCCTTTTGTGCTTCTCCTAACTTTGCTGGCCATCGAACGAAAGGTTCACTGCGTATTTCACTGAGAATTCGATAGATCGGTTTTTTGAACACCATGGTAATAGCAGTGCGAACTCTTAGCCACCTTTTGACTGGGTCCTCTCTGTTGGCCTGCTTGCCTTGCCCATTCCTTACTTGGTCATTCTACCGTGTTGACTTTTGCCGTAGTCTTTTTATCTGGCATTGCTGTTGTGCCAGATTTTGTTTAGCACGGGAGCCATCTTCCTCCACGTGAATATGTTAATGTACTCTCTCCATTAAGGCCTCCATTGTGAGAGGGGGAGTCATAGTGATCGAGTCCCTAAATTTGCTGCTGAATTGTATTGTGCAATGGCGAGGTTCATAGGGCAATCCCCAATCTGGTTGAAGGTTTTCCAGTAGTGACTGTTGTAGGACCTCAGCGTCTCCTTTTCGCCCATGTCAATAGAGAGTAACTGGTCGATCTCCTGGTGTTTTGGTGTTCGTCTTGAATCTAGTCACAAACGCCTCTGCCAACTGTGCCCATGAGGCGATGCTACCTTCTGGTAGCCTTTCGAACCAGGTTAAACCTAGGTCGCCCAGGTTGGATGGGAACATGATACACATTAAGGCCTCATTCCGCCGGTATACTGCCATAACCTGGTGAAAGTGGCTTAGGTGCATGTAGGGGTCTGTCTTCCCTTCATAAGTAGTGAATTTGGGCTGGAGAAAGCCCAAAGGTAGTGGTGCGTTCTCAATTTTCGGAACGAACGGCGAGCTCTGCAACCTTGCTAATGCTTTGTTCGTTGGTTCGTAAGCAAGACGTGGTATTGGCATTCCTACCTCGACACTCCCACGCGTCCTAGGGGCCAATTGTTGAAGGGCTGAAACTCTACGCGGATCGCGTGTCCTGGTATCTTCCTTCTATCGTGCTCTTTCTTCAAGCACAGTTCGCAAGTCAGATGATCTAGGCAACTCCGTGTGCTTAGATGACATCTGGTGCATGTGCGAGGGTCGATAGCTACTTCCCTCGGTATATGATCTTTCAGTTCTCATTCTCTCAGACCTGGAGTAGCGAGTCCTGGAAGTCCTTGATTGAGTGTCGCCTGTTCTGAGGCTCCTACTCTCTGATTGCGATGGTGTGGTTTGCCTTCCACGATCTTCCGAGTGGTGAGGGGGCATGTTGTCTTTGCGCCCCTCTCTTGTCGCCACCCCTTTTCCTTTTATCTGGCACTTCATTGACTCCATGTCTGCCGCCATCTTCCTTATTAACTCGTCCTGCTCCTTCACGGGATCTTCCAGAACTTGAGGGTCAATCCTCCGCCTCTGCCGTTCAGGACTTTGAGAGCGACGGGGGTTGTTAGCCCGTCTCTCCCTTGCATCCCTCCGGGGGTCCTGTCACTGGGGCTCTAAATCCGCCGTGGGAGGGATAGAAGGCAGACCTTCGCGCCTCCCACCCCCCTCCGGGGTTTGCCCATCAATGGCAGATTGCGGCAAGTCTTCATTGTGCGCCATTACTTCCAACTAGTGAGGAAAACTCGATCAAGAGGTTTTGTTTTTTCTGGAATTCCCACAGACGGCGCCAATTGTACGAGCACGAAATAATGTTCTCGTATAATCCTGTTGATCAAGTTTGCGCTCCTCCAAACGGTGTCGCTTTATTCCCTGAAAACACAAACGTGAGCTAGCCGGTAGGTGTGTGCCGAATACCTCTCCGATGCCTAAGTCAGCAAAATAGACAAATAGACAAAAGCTCTGTATATTCGAGAATCAAAGTTGTGTTGCCTCTACATAGGTTATGTTGTGAGCTTTTATAGGTTCCGCACAGTACAATCCTAGTAGGACTCTTATTCCTCCATGTAGAGTCCTCTTAGGAATCACACTCCTGAAAGATAATGCTTATCCTTCAACACCCCCTCACTGCTTAAACCAAGTGAGATGGTTTTACCACGGTTGGATGACAGCATGATCGAGCTACCACTAGCCCTTTGTCATACTTAATCCAATGTCTTCGCATGCAACACATAGCTCGGCTCCCCTTTCACTTGTACCTCGGTTTTGGCCTATTGAGACCGAGCTAACCATACCAAGCTTGGACCGAACTAACAAGAGCTAGGTCCTCTGCAATAAGCCAAAATACCCCATCTCCGAATACTATGACCGAGCTAATCACTACGCCGACCATGGTGACTGTAACCACATTTGGACCGAGCTACCTACAAGGTCCTTTCGTTCAGCCCTTTTTACCGCGGCCCATAGAACGGCCCTAATGCACATAAAAACTCCCTCTCATCTATATATAATCAATATAAGATACACGGGAAAGAAGAATTAAATAATTACACAATCAAATTCTAAAATCAAATCCCTAAATAATTATAATATATAGAAATTACAAAATCTCCTAAATATACAATATTTCATATTCCACCACTCTTCCGCGTTCCAATGGCTCTCTAAGGTACCAGAAGAGTTGTTGGACAATAGTTCTCTTGCTTGGAACAAAGGAAGGATTCACTACACACGTGCCTCAAAAGAAGTAGTTAATGCTTATGCAACTCAATTTGCAATGGACATGTTAAAACTGATCAAATTTACGTAGTTTTTAAGAAAGGATATCAATTTTTGGACTAGAATTCTTGCACAAATATTCGGGGATGATCCAGAGAATAAGGGAAAAAATATTTTTTAAATGAGTATCATTTATTACATCTACTTCAATGCCTTCTTTTCACAATAATCAAAGCATTGAAATTACTGATTTTATACTCATAAAACAAAATTATACTCATAAAAAAAATACCCATTCTTTTTAATCATAATTTTAGTTTTACTAATTATGAATCTGAAAGAATATTTTTAACTCTGGTTTCTATTCCATTGAATTGTTAAAAATGTTTGTATGCCTTAAAGATCGAAGTGGTTAATTAATATTTGTTGCAGGGATCAACAAGTGAAGCTAAAGTGAACTCTTTCAACTTGCCTGTGTATGCTGCCTCTCCTAAAGAGATGAAAAAGTTGGTAGAAATAAATGGGTGCTTCTACATAGAGAAAATGGAGTCAACTGGTACTAGGTCAAAGATTGATGAACAAGTAAATATGAAAACACTAATAGAGCAACTCAGAGCTCGCTTTGAAAGAATTTTCACCAAACGCTTTGGGAGTGATATCATTGATTTGATGAACTGTTTGATCGTATACTTGATAAAATTGTGGCGATTTCCTCCCAGTTTGAACCAGGCTGCATGCAAGGAACTCAACTATTTTTGGCTTTGAAACGTAAACTATTCGAGTTCAATTGGCATTGGCTTTGGTCATCAGGTGATATGGCGTGTTTGGCCATGCAATTCTAGGAATATCAAGATCTGCCTCATTTTATTAAGGATGTCATTTTAGTGATATTTTCTGTGTTTTAGAAAGATTTGCATCTTCAATTAGTCTTAGGATAAATCTACAACATGCACCTCTAAAATAGTGTACATCGTGGAAAAGTTACGATTGTTTGTGATGTGTGATGTGTGTTACGACCCTTTGTGGTAAAGTTATGAATAGTAAATTTATGAGGTATACCCTCAAGTCAGAAATTGTAATGTTATGATATTTTATGATTTTCGTTATGATACTTTGTATTTTGTGATTTTTGTTAAGATATTTTGTAATTTATATTATGAAATTTTATGAAAAAGTTATAAAGGGCATACTATATGCACCATTTTGAGGGTGTATATTGTGGTCTCTCTCTTAATTTTAATGTAAAAGTTATAATTCAATTATGTTGATTCTGTGTTCATCCTGGGAGTCTAAATTGTTATTTCCATGTTCCATTTGAATATTTTTATTTTTATTTTTTTGTAATATTTGTTGTTTCCTTTATTTTTGTAGTGCCAGCAATGAATTGCATAGTTTGGTGCTTCTTAGTTGTGTTAGGTCTTCTTTTAAGAGCTAATTAATTTTGAGAATCAATGCAATTTTGAGTTGTTATATATTCTTTTTCTAACCTTAGGTGTTTTGTATGATCAACCATAGTTGATGTATTTATTCTCGCTATTCTTTTCGCTACATCAATAGGGGTAATTTTCTTGAGCATTATATGAAACTTGATTTTAGTGGACACATTTTTGCATATATATAATAATTGTTATGATAAAAAAAATAGTGATTTGAATTGTGAGATTGATTAGTAATGAAAAGGAATACGATGTTGTGTGAAAAATAAAATTAAAAAAACATTTGCACTACTAAAACAGAATTATCAAATTATAATATTTTGAGTATTGTAATAAAAGACAGAATTGACATGAAAATATATTTCACCAGAAAATGTTAAATGCATGCTCGTCAGCTATGACAGAAATATATTTTGATTCTTTACATTGTTCTAAATTTTAATGGTCCATTTAAAATCTCCATTACTTTTGTCCTTTTTTCTAAGTCAATTAAAATAAAAAATAATAACAATTTTGACATATTGGGTTTAGCATTATCAAAATAGCAAAATCACTTCAATGAAGTTCTTACAATGATTCTGACCCCTCAAATCCATGTAAACAGGGGCACCTTCAACTTGAAAAGATCATATTGGCCTTCCAACATATCATTAAGAAGTTGTATCATTATCCAATCAAAAATACCATTCAAAGCACCAAAATTCAAAGAGACAGAAAATGATTCACAAAAACACAATTTCATTCCATTTCAACAGAGTAGCTGCCAGATACAATTCACAAGCAGAGGAGACCTGCAAAAACAGGACTCGAAAATCCCATAAAAAAAACTCCAACCCGGTATTAAAAAAAAAAAACAAAAAACAACCAAAACAAGGTTATCATGACCTAGCCTCCATGGCCAAGGCCGAGGCAGATGAATTCTGAGGAACCAAACACTTGGAACTGCCCCAAACAACCACTCCAAGAAGTAATCTCAGACAAAACACCCATAAGGTGTTAAAGGCATGGAAAACTCTGAAGGACACTAAAAACTGACATATATTCAGAAAACAGACTATTTGTAGGACTGAAAGTAGAGCAACACTATAAAGGCACACCAGGAAGGACCAACTGACCGAGCAAAAGTACCTGAAACCGGGACTCAGTAACTGTATTTCTCAGAGAACCATGGCTGTGAAATTGAAACAGGCGAACCTGAAAAAAAGGGTGGAAAAGAGAAATGCCAAAGTCCTCTGGAAAACAACCAAGCCACCGGGTGATCAAGAGGGCTCGCCTCTGATGTACTAAAAACTAGCTAGTGTGTTGCTATACGCATGTTAAAAGCTATAGGCTTTTCTGTTAGCTACTAACTTTTCACACTGATTGATTCAAGACTTTGATTTAGGAGAGGATATCACATTTCCACAAGCTCTCCATGAGTTGTTCAACGGTGGTGGTGCTGATTGAATTGCAGTGTTGAAGATTTAACCCCACCAGATTCTCGCCCAATTTTCTCAGGAAATTTATACTCTTGTTCGATACCTTAGAGCAGCCAGAGAGGGAAATGATCTGTAGATTCAGCTGGTCTCCATGAGACAAAGCAGCGATGCCAGAATCGGTGATCGAACACTTTGACACATCGAGATCATTTAATACTAGGCAGTTGTCTGCAATTGCTACAAGGCTTGCATCAGTAACCTTACTACAACCATCAAGATTCAGCACTTCTAGGGTTTCACTGTGTAGCCTAGCCATGATTGAAACCACTTTATCTGTCAAATTCAAGCAACCGCTGAGATTCACTGTAACAAGTCCTGCCTCGCAGCTCTCAACAAGTGGAAGAAGTCCGGAATCAGTTATTCCATAAAGTCCGCTCAGATCTACATGATGTAGCTGAGGGCACAACTTCCCCACCACAGCCAAGCTAGCATCACCAAACCCCGGGCAGCTTCGTATGGACAAGGAACAAAGAGATTCACAAGGAGTGAGCAAGGGTGTTTCTGAAGCTAGATCTTTGATTCCCATGCATTTAACTAAAGCAAGAGACTTTAATTTCGATCCACAATTTGAGAGAGCGCTCAAAATCCCAGATTGGGTGAGCCTGTTGCACTCCTCCAATTGTAGGTTCTCAAGAGATCCAGCAGCTTTGGCAAAAGCTACGAGCCCGATATCAGATACAAAGCAACACTTGCGAAGGCACATCTGTTTCAAGTTAGGGCAACCCTTCCCTATAGCCTCGAGACTCACATCAGTTGTGCCCCGACAGGAAGTAATTGTAAGAGATCCCAGTCTCTCCAAACCCCGAGCATTACCCATGACCCAAAAACCCTTTTCACTCACGTTTTGAAGCCCGCTAAGGACAAGACTAGTAATGGCCTTTCCATAATGCCCGATTACAGCAAGAGAGAAATCTGTGAAGCTCAAAGACTGAAGCTTTACTTTTGTCAAGACAGAAGAGGCTGATGACAAGAGGCTTGCGACTCCCTGATCCCCAACATGAGGGCAGTCTCTGATAGTGATGGACTGCAGCTTTGGGCAGCACCGTCCGATTGCTTGCAAGCTGTCATTGCCGATTCTAGGACAAGATTCAATTGTTAAAGCAGTCAAATTTGGGGAATTTTCTGCAATTGCAATCAAACCCTTGTTGGAAATCGAAGGACACTGGCAGAGGTCGAGTTTCTCCAACAAGTGGCATTCCTTGGCTATCTCAAACATACCTTCATCCCCAATAGAAGGAACATTCCACAGAGAAAGGGCCCTCAAAGAAGGGCAACCATGGGCAATAGCCGTGAGACCATCGTTGGTGACTCTACAAGTAGAGTTGCTTCCCCTGATTGAAAGCTTGCCAAGTCCACCGCGGCTAGAAGTTCCAACTGCAATAGCAGCGAGTCTAATATCCGTTGCTTTCTTTCCTTCCAAACACCTTGTAAGGTGTCCATCGCTCTCTATTTCCAGATCTTCATTACCAGAGATCATATCAACATCATTTGATGACTCATTTACTTTGCTCTGAGCATTCTTGCTCTTGCAAATCTCAGAATTGCGAATGCCACTCAAGAGCATAAGCCAACGCTTGGATACGCAAGCAGAGGCACTCCTCGCCTGACCGCCAGGAAGGCGTCTGAAAATCTCGAAGAGGCATTCATCAGGAAGAACATCAATAGATGGGGTTCTCTCCTCCTCAAACATGTTACCTGAGGAGGCAAATGGGGAACTGATCCGAGCTCGTTTGCTAGGCGGCAAATACACATCCAAATGGGAACTAATAGAACACAAGAGGCTTGAATCCAAGGAATAGATTGACTCCCTAGAATAGAATTCATCATCCCCTGTAAACCCAACAACAAAATCTAACATCAGCTAAATCTATTCATACAATTCTCCAATTAAGGAATGTCTCAAGACTATTTCATTGTAAAAGCTTGTCAAAACCACAACACATACAACAAATTTACAGCAATTAATAGCAAAAGAAAAAGTTTAGCTTTGTTTTGTGGAAAATTTTAAAAAAATCTATAATCTTGGTTGAACTAAGTTGTTATTAATTTATTTTTTTTCCCCTTCTTAATATCACATCAATCTAATCAAGAATTTCCAGAACAAAATTCATCAAATTCACAGGAGGTAATAACCCAATCTAAGAAAACCTTTTCCACATTAAAATTCGAATCAGAAGCTGAAACAAGCATGTTTATAGATCATCTCACAAAACAATCAAAAGACCCAAAATTAGACCCAGACAAGTTAATCTAGCAAACAACAACAACATCTCCCAGCTGGACCCAGAACACAAAATCAGACAAATTGAAGAACAAACCCCCAAAAGATTCGAAACATACCACTGTAATTGAGGAGAGTAGGCATGGTTGTTGGTTCAAAGTATAAACCCCCAAATCGAGAGAAATGATCACCAAAAACAACACAAAAAAGAGAAGAAATTTGTGTAGATGTTCGAGCACTGATCGCATTACAGAGATGAAACGTTCAAGATGATCAGAAACCCCACTAGGGCAAAAAGAGGAGAGAGAGAGAGTTTGCGCTCTGGTGTATTGCTACAAAAGTGTATACATCTCTGAGTGTGTATATATAGTGGGTGATGTCTCTCAAGTCTTCAGATCATTACTCTCTCTCTCTCTCTCTCTCTCTCAGGGTTCAATGAATCATTCCGTAAAACCGGTATTTTACCGGTAATTTCTCACCGCTCGCCGCTTGTACGAAAACATGTCCTTTGACCGGAAACGGGCTGCTTCCTGTTTGCTTTTTTTTTTTTTTTTTTCTTTCCTTCTTTTATGTTTTTGATAAATTATAAATACATTAATTAGTTTAAAATACGAATTATCACTTTAAATTTCTAATTATATAACAAATTATTCATTTTATTAATAAACTATTAAATTTAATAATTTTTAATAATATTAGAAATATATTTTAATTAATAATTTAAGTATTTTAATTTTTATATAAAAGAGTAGTTAAAAATTTTATTTTTTTCTATTAATTCTGTTAAATAAAAAATTCTATTTGTAATTTTCAAAATCATAAAGAGATAATTCGTATTTTAAGAAAATCTCAGAGACATGCTTATAATTTTTTGTTTGTTGGATAAATTACACTGACTTATTAAGATTTGAAGAAAATATAGTAAGTATTACAAATTTAGTATAATTATCCTGAGTTTCCTCAAAGATTTAATTCATATAATATTTGACTTATTTTCATTAGAAATTCAGTATGAATGAAAAAAATACATTTTAAATTGTGTATTGTTGTATTTTTATACCATCTGCATTAGTTTTAATTCTTTAACCTTATTAAAAGAGAGATTTATGTAATTATTTTAAAACTATGGGACTTATTATATTTTTTTTAAACCTCAAGTGACATTAGTGTAATTTATCCTAATGTTTTTTATTGAAAAGGTTGAGTTATTGGCGCGGAAAAAAAAAAAAATTCCCCCCACTGTAAACACAAAACATGCTATTTTGATTCCAACCCTTTATCTTTTGATGATTTTATTAATTTATTAATATTCAACACCTTATTGATGTCTTATGTCCTAATTCAACGTATAAATTGCACCTTTCGTCTTACTTGACCTAGCGACACGTTTTAAGACCATCTTTAATAGTGAACTTTTTTCTTAATCAAATTTGAAAAAAGAAAAAGACGGTTTTCTCAATTTGATACTACTGACTCCAACGGTGAATTTTCTCAATTTGATACTACTGACTCCAACGGTGAATTTTTATCAAATCTATGCTGGACCGACTGGTCGACCGGTAAGGACAAAAATATATATATATATATATATGTATTTTAAAATTGTTTGAATTTTTTTTTGAACTGTTTGAATCCTTTAGTGGTCGACCGGTTAGTCGACCAGCCGGTCGACCAGTAAGACAATTTTTTTTTTAATTGTTTGAACCTATAAATTTGAATTGTTTGAACTTTTTAGTGGTCGACCGGTTGGTCAACTGGCCGGGCAACCGGCTGGTCGACCGGTTCCTCTGCCCCAACGATAACAAACAGTAATTTACTGAAATCTAGGCGTGTTCTCATTTTGGTGAAATGTTTGGTGAATTATCGATTTGATACCAATTTGGTGAAACCGTTGGAGCTCCAAACAGTAACTTTTTCACTAATTTTCAAATTTGATGCCAGGTTTAGTGAACCGTTGGAGATGGTCTAATACGGACTTGGGGTGCTGTTGTGCCTGTTATGCTCCCTCTGCGGGAGTTGGTTCCAAATGTTTTTTAATAATTTGAATCATCATATTATAGGGTTTCATTAATAATATTATTCAGGTAAAAAATTAAGTTAATCGAATATTCATAATTACATGATTAGATTTTAATTATTTTTAAAAATTTATGAAAATTATGTTAATCGTTAATTTTTATAAAAACAAATGTATTTTGATTATAGGGTTGCAAATATCTAATTATTATTATTTTTTTTATATAAATGATGTACTTGACGAACCTTATAATATAAACGGTTCAAATTATCGAAAGAGGATGGGGACAATACTCCACGAAAGAGCACAGCCTCATATCCTTCTAAATGCCAAATGATAGAAGCCACTTGAGTAGAATTATAATCATTGAAAACCGACTTGTACAGAGGATACTTGAGAGACTTAGGCCAAGTTTGGATACTTTCAAAAAAGTTAAAAAGTCAAAAAGTTACTCAAAAAGTTAAAAAGTTAATACTATTCACCAAAAGTCAACAATTACGGCTGCACAACTCCCACACAACTCCCAATTCAAATTTTTTCCTACAAATCAATTTTTACAATTTTTTATTATACATTTTTCAATAAAAAGTCAAAAAGTTAACCCAAACATCCATATTTTTAACTTCAATTTTTTAGTCCAAAAAGACAAAAAGTGTACTTTTTTAGTCTTCCTAAACTTGGCCTTATATGCATATGGCATGACATTTATTAACCGATATGAGATTGTAACGTAATATAGAGGGTGTTTAGGGTAATTTAAATAAATAATTTTTTTTATTTTTTTAAAAAAAGATATATAAAAAAATAGAGAGATAATATGATTCAAAAAAAATAAAAAGAGAAAAAATATACTTTTATAAATTATGCCAAATAGTGCCATAATATTATAATATGAAATTAACTCAAGAAAAAATTTCATAAACCCAATCAGTGTGTTTGGTTTGAGTTTTTTGGATTAAGTTCTTTGAAAATTGAGTTTTTGGGTTTTCGTATTCTTTTGTTTTTATTGAATATTTTTTAAATTTAAATTTTCTTTTTACTTTTTTAGATGCACCTTAGTTAGATGTATCTAAAAAGTAAAAAATTTGTGAAAAAAATATTTTAAAAAATTAATAAATACATAAAAATATAAAAAATGTACTGAATTCTTGTATTTTTTTTGTATTTTTGGTATTTAGTGAATTTTTAAAAGATTTTTTTTGTAATTTTTTTTACTTTTTAGGTGTATTTACGTTAGATGTGTCTAAAAAGTAAAAAAATTACTTAAAATATTAAAAAAATTCAGTAAAAACAAAAAAACAAAACACGAAAAATAAAAAAGTAGAATTTTCTGAAAAGTATTTTCTGAAAAATGAAAACAAGCATGCTGAATCTAATTTATCAAAAAATAAGTAGGATAAAAATACCTGAACCAAACATCCATAATTTTTTTTTTGAAGGATCCAAATTTGCATGAAACTGTGTTTTAAAAGAGCAACTTCAATTTTTGGAAGAAATAAATTTTGAAAACTGTATTTTCTTCATGTCAGATTGGATCTTGAATTTGTCAATGAGGGTAAAAAAATGAGAATGGAAAAGAAATAAAAATAAAAATTTTACTTTATTTGGAATTTTTTTGAAAAATCGATAATTAAAATTCAATCTGTTAACAAGCCTACCTTTTATAATCAAATAAATATATAGGAGAGAGCGAACGATGAACAAAGTAATTGGGGAATGAACTTTTTAAGTTTGTTTTTGCATACTCATAATAATATATTAAACATCATATGGTACAACATGGCAATATATGGGATTTCAAAAATATTCCTTCCTTGGAACACCAATATAAACAAATTGTGTAATTACATTACCCCCACACACAAGTCTAGCATGAGTATGAGTTGTTAATCATCTTCAATTTGGTTGAGTTATTTTGCGAAGTTTGTTAAAAGTTAGTTTTTCTTATTTTTTTTTTCATTGTTTTTGAAAAACGTGTAAAAAAATAAAGAAATAATATGATTTAAAATAAATTAAAAATTAAAAGATGACTTTTAACTATTTTCTTAAAATAGTCTAAAATGAAAGTTAAATTCATAATTTGACAAATTAAGCGATGTGGGTTTACAAACGGTGGTTTTAATGTCAGAGACACGTTAATTTGTTGGTTCAATGGCCTCGTTTGGGAAGTGACTATTTTAGCCTGTGTTTGGCAAGGGTTTTTTCACGCTTTTTTGGCTATTTTAGCCACAAAAAACAAAATAGGCTATTTTAGCCATAACAAACAAAACATCACATCCAACCTATAATCATTACATTCTTCTCTCACAAAAAAAGTCAAAAAAGCTAAAAAGTCAAAAAGCCCTTCCCAAACCAAGCTTTTTAGCCCAGGCTAAAATAGCCAAAAAAAGCCAAAAAGCCAACCCACTTTCCAAACGGAGGCTTAGTAGGCTATTTTAGTTTTTGACTATTTTAGTAGGCTAAAATTTTTGTGTTTGGGAAGATGGTTGGATTTTTTTGTGGTTGGATATGATGGTTGTGAGAGAAAAAGTGAAATGATTATGGGTTTGATGTGATATTTTCTCTTATTAATTATTTTAGCATTTTTTTGTCTTTTTGTGATTTTTAGCCTAAACTAAGTTATTTTTTTTCTTCCCAAGTAATTTTTATATGAGGATAAGGTATACGCCTCTTTTATGGTACCTTCTATTATTGTAGTTGGTTTTGATAATAGGATCCATTATATTTATGTTAGGTATTTGAAGAACAATAAGAAGTATATATATTTGTAATTGGTGAAAGATAGTGTCACGTGATACTCTATTGGTATACAAAAATTTCTCGATAATGTAGGTTTACAAAGGTCAGTATTTTTTTTTAAAAATCAATGGTTGTGTAGTATTATTTGTGGTGTGAGATTTCAGGTTCAACTACCATAGAAAGGAGTTTGATACTTGTTGTGATAGTGTTTATTTCTCTCCTATTTTCTAATTGTTGGGCTAGTAGTGGTCTAGTTGATGTAATATATTTATTATATTTGTAATTACCCTCTTGATTGACAATTTTTTTTTAATAAAATAATAAACATCTTTTATCTGATATACTTTTGTTTTAGTGTAGAACCAACAAAATAATCGTGTCATTATGGTCGCCTTTAAAATATTGCGATAGTAAATTTTTGTCATAACAATTCAAGCGAAAAAAAAAATTTCAACTGGAAATATTACTTATACAGCAGCCATCAAGGTCATATTTTTATAGAACTAGTTTAACAAATGTTTATTTAACAAATTTTTTGGCTAACTTTTCTTTTGTTTTTAGTTTGACTTTAAAAGAAAAATTACTTTAGGTCACACTAGGGATTGTTTGGGTTAAACTATTATAAGTATACTTTTTGACTTTTTTTATAAAAAAGTAGAAA